TTATATAATCTTGTCGAGTATTTTCCTTTTTTAAATGTAATTTCAAATCAGTTAATTATTATTACATTAAAGCTTGTTAGATGAAATCTATTTTGAGGAATTAAAACTTGCGTGTATTATTGATATTTTACGATACGTTTATTTGTCCGAAAAATTTGTAAGCCATCTGTTTGATTAAAGTACAGTGTACTTGTTACTTACCTATGTGCGAAAATCGGTATTTTAGATGTTTCTTTTCCACTAACGACCTGTTTATTTGTTAGATCAGTGCATATCCCTAATTTCCAAATACCAGGTCAAAAATATGGTTGATTTCAAGATATTTATGTGCCTTATAATTTGGAAAAAAATTTCAACATAAACTGATATTCGTCAAACAACCATAAAAATCCAACTATATTCGGCTGACTCATTAAAAGTACTAATAATGACTTTCATCTTGAAATTGGAAAATTTCGCTTTATACAATCCGTATTTTTGTTGTTAAGCCACAAAAGTCAATTTCATGAATTAAGTGATGATGCGTTATATTTCAAGTAATCATTTAGTTTAAGGGTTTCAACTGCTACAATTAAACGTAGTAGTGAAAAAGTATAACTTTAATAGGTTAGATGATGGCAAACACCTGAAAAAAACTAAAACTAAACAAAGCTACTAATCATTGAAATTTTATTTCTGAGTATCGATTTAAATGATGAAAAATATCATTGTAATTTAAACAAACTAACGAAATAGTTTTTTTATCACTTGGCTGATATAGCTTTCGCAAAGCAATATGCGTAAAAGGCTCGTTTTGATATATTCTAATGTGTTTTTATCTTATCTTTGCTACCAAAGTGAAATCCTATTTTAATAATGATTTTTCAAGCATGTTTTCATTGGGTTTCAAGTTAATCATTTTTAATTATATACTTTACTTGGTCTAGAGTGACTGCATTAAACAGCCCAATTAATAAAAGTAATATATTACTAGAAGTATAAAACAATTCATGCCTTAACAGTAGCTTTATTAAGAGAATAAACTCAGCACAGCTGTTTAATCAGTGCAAAGTTAATTCTGAATACGTAAGTTGGTCTATTGTTAATCAACTAGTACTTGTTTATGGACCAAAAAGAGATCAATTTCATGAGTAAATTTAGTGTAAACTCTTGTGTTTGTATTTCTATAAATTGCTTTTCCTGGTTCTTTTGGAGTATATATATATATATATATATATATATATATATATATATATATATGTGTTTCCACCTGTTTCTTTTTCTGATTTGCATCAAGTCGATTAAAGTGCGATTTTCAAAGAGTCCTACACAAGAGGGATACAAACAGATTTTAATCTCTAAACTTTTATATTTGGTTAAAATGGATGAAATAATCTTTATCCTATGATGAACCAGTCAGATAGTTTATATACTACGTAGCTGTTTAAACGGAAGTGGGTAAAACATAGTCCAAACCTCCGACTTAAATATTGAAATTTATCTGAATTATTCATTAATACGCCGCCCCAATTTATTGCATAATTGCATTACTTCAAACAACTCTAATTATTTATTAATAGAGAGAATGTTAATAAATGTTTATGAGGCTAACTACGTTTATTTCAAGTAACTGTTATGTATTTCAATTAATTCATAATGAGTTTTCACTATGAATCACTCGATAATAGGCGGCTTCTTCATATTAAAACAAAAACAAAAAGAAAGAATAAGCACAATAATGGCTAAAAACCCAAATAGTCTAATCATTCTTTTTTATATTTTAAATACAGTCAGTATCAAATAGCTTTGGATAATTTGTTAGTAAAATCTATTTTCCTCTTTAAAAATAAATAATCTATAAATTGTTTAAATTATTTTGATATTTCTTTTTATTCTCATTTAAATAATTTCTTTAAATGGACAACTTAATATCACTTTAAATAATAATTGTTTATCATTTTTAATGGTGTTTTATTCCATTAAATTACAAAAACGATTAATATTCATTTCTTAAGTTAAAACATTTAATTTCAGTTGTAATTATTAGTTTTACTAGTGAACAGAATTAGTGGTTGTTCTGGTTATCAGAAGGAACATCAGCCTCTTCACTTCCGAAAGAGCTTGGCTCTCAACATGAGACGTCATAAATCTTTTAAATGAAGACCTTTTAATTCCAGGACAAAGTTTAAATGATTTTGAATTATTTTTTCCGGTTAGCATCATTTTTATTTAGTTTTCTACGGATGAGGTCGCTAACCCTATACCCGATCTTCCTCCTTTATCCGGGCTCGGTACCGGTATTATCTCCAGGGGGCTCCATGTAGAGTGTTCCTTGGTCTTCCTCTTCTCCTTTGGCCTTGGGGATTCTATGTGTGGGCTTGCCTTGTGACATAGTTAGATGCTTTCCTCAATGTATGCCCCATCCACTTCCAGCGTTTCCTCCTGATTTCTTACTCCGTTGGGATCTGTGAGAGAGAATAAATCAGATCCCAGCGGGGGAAGAAATCAAGAAGAAGCGTTGGAAGTGGATAGAACACACGTTGAGTAGGACACCCAACTGCGTCACAAGGCAAGCCTTCACATGGAATCCTCAAGGCCAAAATAAAAGAGGAAGACCAAAGAACAAATTACGCCAAGAAATGGAGACAGACATGAGAAGAATGAACAAAACTGGATAGAACTGGAAAGGAAGGCCCAGTACAGAGTGGGTTGGAGAATGCTGGTCGGCGGCCTATACTCCATTGGTGGTGACAGGCGTAAATAAGTAAGTGAATAAAATGAAAGAAACGCTTATCTTATTAACCGTTCATAGTTATGCCTACATCAAATATATTTATTTATTTAGTTAGTTATTTTTACTTGTGAGAATAGTACTTTATTAACGTTTCAAATTCAGTCTTAATAATAACATTGTTAGATTGTTCTCTAATCACATATCAATATAACTACCATTATCCAGATAGACAAAAAATAAAATATTGGGCTTTTACATAAACAACTGACAATTTGAAGTGGAATACTTATAAATCACTGAAATACGAAAATGAGTGAAAACCGAGAGATACTGAACTGATTGTTATAAATAAAAGAGGATAAAATAAGTCAACGAATAATATGTGAGAGACGTGACAAAAAGGTTTAATTTATCTAATCTGGTTGGTGTTTCTTCAGAAAAATTTCTTCTACGGGATGGGGTCGCCGACGTCATGCTCGACCTTCCTTCTTTATCCGGGCTTGGAACCGGCAGTAGCTCTAAAAAAGAGCTACAGGCGGTGACAAAAATGGGGTAATGGACACACCCTAGTTGAAGTTAGACATTACCATTGTTGGATTTTGGCTCAGTGGCCTAGAGGTTAGGCTCGAATCCCGTGTAAAGGATCGTGGATGCGCATTGTTGGGGAGTTCCATGCTAAAACGAAACAGCCATCCAGTTCTTTCAGTCTTTCAATGGTGTCCTAACATCGATCCCTTCATGATCTCAATCAAAATTTCATTTTGTAAATACACTTTTTACTAAAACATCTTATAGTCCTCAGATTACTTTTAGTGTTAAATAAATTTGCAATGAATTAACATTAATTATGGGTTAACATCACTAGTTTCTCATGGACATAACCACGATATAATAAAATAAATATCTAAATTGTTTTTGCTAAACATTACACTTTCGTGGCGTTATTTATGAACTTGCCATATCTATGAAAGATATTTGTGATTAAAGTTGATTGATAAAACTCGATATTTATTTCTTGTCTTTCCCGAAAATATGTTTATTCAAATCAGAGCTTTTAGAAAGGTGTGTTGATTTACTTTCATAAGAAATACAGATCTTAAATTCTAACAAATTATGGTTTCCGCTTAAGCTTACATAAATATGTTTTGCGTACTTGAATACAGTAGATAGATTGACACATATGACAGTAAGAGCAGTTATATTATTTCTGCCCACTTTGAAAGTTAAATTTTGAACTAAGTATAATTCTGAATGATTTCTGGGTTTTCTCTTACCTCAGCAATCTCTCCATTATCAAAAGGTTTTCAATTGATATCGGTATTCATTTTTAAATACGTTTTAGTGCACCATTTTATTTTAACAATGTGGTGTTAAACTACAATATCTTATGCTACATGCGTTTACCGAGTCTCAAAAACTTATTTCTCACTGGCATTCCGTATATCTATAAAATAATACTTGTCCATAATCGTAAACATCACGAAAACCGTTTTCCATTTTATTCTGTAAAGACGAAGTTTCAATTCAATAACTGTAACAGCCAACCTTTCATTATCAGCAGATTATTTCCACATTTTAATTTAACTACTGACCAGGAAACATTTTCTCATAAAATGCTTTTAGTGACCAATATTTGACTGTAATACTTTTTGTAGTAAAAAAAGTCAACTATCAAGACAGTTTATTAATTATAGTAAAAATATACAGAGCCAAAACTTTGAATCTCAGTCTATTGTTTTTAGTATGGCGGAACTCGACGGGTAAACTGTTCTTGTCAGTTTTTGTAACAAAGTTTCATATTTAAGAATTCAACTCATTAAGTTACATACAAAAAAGAACTTTAGCTTCGTGAAACATTTGTAGATGGAAATTCGCTTTAAGCTAACTAGGACTGCAGTACCACATAATCATGTGGGCAATTAGTATTGTAAGCAAGCTGTTTATTGTTAAACACTTAGATCAAATAATTACAAACTCAGCTAACCTTTTTTGATTTCATATTTGAAACAAAAAGGCTTCATCAGTGTGGGGATTTGTGTAGATTGCTGTATTTTTACAGTCAAATTTACGAGTTGATAGAAGATGCACACTGATAAAGAGCCCGATATTTGGACAAAACGGCCATCCGGTACTCTCAGGCTTTCAACATCACTGTGGTCTAGCTTAGACCAACTTGTGAATTCAATAAAGCTTTAGGTTATAATTAGTGATCAAACAAAGGAGTTATGCTACTAATTATGGAGATATAAGAAAACATAATTACTTTGTTGAACTAACGTTAACTCACCTTTGACTGGAGAAGGTCGAGTAGTTCCGTCCAGAAGTCTGAATTTCCATAATCTTGCTGTACGGCAATACTCATCCGATTAACCATAAGTATAATTAACTGAAATTTGACAAATAATTTCAAATGAGGTAGTATATTTTCAATAAATCATAATCGAGAAATGAAACAACTTAAATATCTTTGCTGCTTGCATCACCAAGGGCACTCTAATCTTAAGCGTAGTGTAGAATCACATGTAAGGTCGCAAAACGAAATCACTTTTTGTGCAGGAGGTTACAAGGTGGCTTGTTGTTTTCTCAATTTGTTTTGATCACTGTAAGAGCTCATGAGCAATCTCGTAAGTCATATTCTCGGCATAGTAGTAATAATTTTACGGATTGAATAAATTTATATCATGAAGAAACAAAAGCTAGTATGTCAAATATCCCTCCACGTGTTTAAATTAAAACAAGCTATACAAACTATTTTCAGCCTTATTACATATTCTATATACATCTAAACATGGTATCTAAGCTATACTTTCTATTCATAATCGACATGGAATTAAGTGGCTGGACGATAAAACGGACCATTTTTCTAAATGTTCAAAATATTTTTATAATGACTTAGAGTTACTAAAAAGTTTTAAAGTCATAATAAATTCTTTGAGTTTATTGACTTCTTAACAACTTGACACAAATATTTGTAAATGTATTTTCACAATGTATATCAAAGTAATGGTGTCGATTATTTTTAATGCCTACTTTTACACAAATTGTTTTTTACTTAAAGCGGATAAGTGAAATCTAATTAATTTTCAAGGAATACTGGAAAGCGTAATATACCATACTGACTATCAATCTATAATATCATGTCTTCCTAAATACCTTTGTTTTCGAAATGAATATATAAAAACTGAGACAGAGGAGCTTTTTCAGACGACATTTTCATTTACTTTTTGTGTATGATACACACTAAACACTTCTAGTTCAGGTACAAAGCCAACCAAGCAAACTACATTCAGAACGAGAGTCTAAACAACGTGTAGATTTTCGGCTGTGAACAACTTTGTTTTCCTTGTTGGCGATCAGATCTTTTATTAGTTCATCGTTTTAAACAGAACCCTGAGGACAAACGTTACGGCATTTATTACAACTGCCAATAAATTTCAATACGGTGGCAAAGCCGACCCTAAAGATGAGTCACAATGATAGCAAGCACATAGCTATGTAATTCTTCCTCTGAAATTGTAATGACCAATGAAAAACTACACTGTGGTTCCTGTAATAATCAGATATCAACCAACACAGAAAAACACCGAATACAAACGATACGTAGGTTGAGAAAAAGATCAGTCGCCGTTTTTGAGTTCTATAGCCAAATATCCAAATCTCCCAATTTGAGTGAACATTTTATCCGTTCAGGGGAAATTTTCAGGAAACATTTCGAGGAATTGTCACAAACCACAAACTTCCCTCAGATCTGAGAAAAGTATCCAAAATTTTGCAGAAGACTATTGAACCTCAGGGAAAAAACCGAAAATTCCCAAAATTTCTTTAAAATAAGGAAACTGGAATTTTACAAAAACGTCATGATTTTCAAATAGAAAAATCTTTATTTATTGACATTGATAAACAGTGTAACTACTTTTGATGTCAAGGATTCCCAGTGTAACCACATATTTTGTTAACAAACTAAATAAAAAATGTCTTTCATGGGCAGTACACGACGTTGAACTTGTTTTTGAGAAATACTTTAAAAAACGTCTAAAAAGTCAAAAAATTACTTACATCTCTTCTAAATACAGTTGCTAGAGTTCCAATAACTAAACAAGCCATGAACAAGCCACAAAGTAATGTGAAGAACTGAGATAGGATATTACAAAAATCTCTTCTATACCGTAACCAAAATGCACCGATTTTCAAGTGCAGCGCCTGCGCATCCTAAAATTGAGAGTAGCAAAACGACTCCTCCAATGGATATGGTTGAATATGCTGATATTCGTAACAAATGAGGTCCCATAATATCCAAAAATATTTGGGGCCAAAATAAGGCCCAACAAGCTATTACGATAGACGATAACCCAATCAGTATAAATATGACATTCAAACACAACAATATACACTTTACGCACATCAGAGATGATCCCTTCCAACACATTTGATTACGAATTCTAATAACACGACCTTCAAGTTTGTAACATCGCAATAAAGAGTACACGTAATTTGAAAAGTTTAAACGAAATAGCATGTCGAAATCACTATTCAATCCAGATTAGTTTTTCAAATGAAACACTTGATGAGTGTATTTTACATATATCTAGAATGAAACTATTTATTTGCCGCTACATTTCACTCTCCTTTATGATAGGGAAGTAGTCACCCTAGGAGGAGATCATCTAGAAGTTTAAACCCAACAGGTTTGTTGTCGGTAGACGCTCATCTGACAGTTCCCTATGTCCAGCGGCATGTACTCTTCTTTCTTTAGTATAAGGAACCATGTAATACAAAATAACAATCAAAAATGTCCGGGAAATTTTCAGTTCATTGTATTTGTTATTTATTCAAATTTATCAGCCAACCTGAGAAAGACAAATTTTGAGAATGTAATTATACATTGAAATTCACTTGTACTGGCTCAGAGAAGAAAAATTTGTGAAACAACTCCGGTATATATGCGTACATATGCCATACGACATAGCAAACGTTTCCATACGAATAGGTAGTTTTTGAGATTTATTATGGTAGAAGAACATATACGCATGTATAAGTATATCAAACAAAAGAAAAGTGCTATCAAACAATTAATAGACGCAAAAGACGAAATAAAATAAATTTGTGCTTTGTCCTACGTGCAGTTGTCGTATAGGTGTTCTGGAAACCCTAACATTCTTCTAGAAAGCATTATTTTGGGTTGTTTCTATGAATACAGAGAATTACCAACGTAGTTATTGTTTATCGAAGATGGTATCCCAATCGTGGGGTTCACGTAGTTCGATTGTCCAGGAGCAAAGTTAACATAATTATGATGTCCCTCTAAATAAGCGGCTTTAATATGGCGTTATCATTAGTTTCCTTTCACAGACGGTATGTTACATGGCTTTGAGGTGGACAGTTTTGAATCTTCCTTCGTATGTCGTTTAGGGGTCGGTGTAATAAACCGTGATGCACAAAAACGTACGCACTACATCATAAAGCGGACTGGACGAAAACATCACTTAACTTAGGTTGGGTCGTAACAGGTTCAACTAAACGCATAGCTCATATTCACAAAAGAAGACGAATGATCTACAAACTACCCTTTAAGCAAAAGTGCTATTCCGTAATCGTGCTGTGTCGTACTGAATCCAGGGTCAGATTTCACTGCATTGCGAATACCAGTTAACACGAGTGAAAGATCACTTGTCCACTGCGATACGTTTGCACCCAAGAAAATCTTTCAACACATGGTGAAATCATCCTACCAATCCGCTAGCTTGTGAGTGGTTGATGGTCTTTTGGAATCGTGCGACTCCCAACAATGTCGCAAGACAATGGAAAAGTTCGGATTCGAACTGATCTCCACAGTTGTTGGAGGGCAGTGGATGTTTAAAACCCATCGTTCGACAAATGAGAAGGTTAGTATTTGGGCAGAAATGTCCCTGATTAGTACCGATTCCTACTACCGTGAGAAGCGGTTCACAAATGATAGGAGATGAGAATATTAATTTAGATCCGCCTAGAGCCCAACTAGGTCAAAATGAACATGATCAACGAGCGTTGAAATTAGCGTAAGAGTCCAATGACATTTGTTTTTTCTGACCGCCCCAGACTTTTGGCAGCGTACATCAGAGCACGCCTACTCCATCACACCTTGATTTACGCTAAGCCGGCAAAATCATACTGTCGTCATATTTGTTCGAAAACCTGGATGAGTAGGTTTGTGCATTATAATGAAGACTTTTCGTCAACAGTGTTACGGCGCAACTAAACGATCATTACCTGACGATGTATCACATAGTAAAGTTTCATAACCCGTTACAATCTGTTTGATTAGTAATTTCTGGGTTGTCGAAGATCAGTAAGCAATTTTTTAAGTTCAGCACGTTTAAGTAGATCGGTTTATTGGAAACTATTTAGAGGAGTTGAATGAGACGAGGTCTGTAACTACACTGTTAGTTAAGAAGTGTGTTGTACATTCTAAGTGAACTGAAATGTTTGATCCTGTTGTCGACTCTCTAGTAAGGTACTTGTCTGCAGACAGTCTTGTAGAAGGTACAAGAGGTCTGTGGTGGCTAAAAGAAGCGAATTCTTGGTTTTCTGAAGGGCGATGAAAGTGCCGTGCAACACAAAACATAACTAGGAATTTCCTGACGAGAGTGCCATAATTTTATCTAGTGTCTTCCGAACGTCTCAAAAAGAGTCCCCAAGGTTCTTCGTTCTTATTTATCCATTGTTGTAGGACCCCTCAGATTACCAAGTTTGATATGTCTACGACGATAATAGTGGGCGCTTTGATGTTCTGGTACGATAATTTCCTTAATTGTGTTGAATGCTTTTTTGCGTTGTCACCCAAATCGATGATTTTCACATTTCTACGGAGTTGGTTTATTAAGGATCCTAAGAAGGAGGTGCATCTCAGTAAGTAATGTTGATAGGAACTTACGACGTCGTCAAATTCACTCCATTGTTCGACTGTGGTCGATTTTGAGCAATTCGGAATGACCACTACTTCACTTTTCTGAGGACAGATGTTTCGGACTTCAACGATATCTGAGAAGTTACAGGAAGCCAGTTTTGATCTGCCATTACATGATATTTTCAGTAATATTACGTATTGGAAGTCATTTGTAAACAGTGTCTATTTGATGGAACTGAGATTGCTTGTTTGGACTTACAGTCATATTCATTCGTATTCATGAATTAAAAACCTATGAATGTCATTAACGAATCTCTGGAAAGTTTGTGCAGCATTTTTTGAACCGAAAAACATGTGGAAAAATTCGTAGAGTTCGAAAAGCATAACGATCACCGTTTAAAGAATGTCGTCCGCGGCCACAGAAATTAGGTTACATGCTTCAACCAGATACATTTTCGAAAAAATACCGCACCTCTAAAAATAGCTGTCAGGTCGTGGATGTATGGTAAAAGGTAAAGAACTGAAGTGATTTTCATATTCACTCGCCGATAATCATCATTTGGACGCTGATCAATGCTTTCCTGATAAAAAATCATGTACAACGAAAGTTCTTATGATTATTCTGATCGTTAGATGGTGCCCAGGTTATCATGTGTTAGAATTCGTTTTTGACCAACTCATCCAAACACGTTTGCTGGACGAGATGTTGAGGTTATTTACATTTCAATCGCTGAGATTATTTCAAATAGAAATTTTACATATAAATACTCAATCATTTATACGTTATCAACATGTTCATTAATCAGGACTGCATGTCATCCGCGACATTTCATTACGTTGACGAATCCACTTAATTTGCTGCTACCACTCTCAATAGTTGACTTCCAGTCATATGTGGTGACCGAGAAGTAGTAGATTTTCCAACTATTTAGTGTACCCATTTAGCAGTGCTAAAGGCAGTAGGCAAGATATGTGGCGAATATTTTGAGCTCAGTATTAATATGGTTGTGAATAGATATTCATTATCTTGCAAACTCCAAGTATGTGTTGTTGTAGAATACAAATTAAGATTGGCACTGAAGAATAGCTGTCTAGGTAGTTTAGATACGCGCTACTGCCCAGTTCGAACCAAAACAAGGTGATTGGGTAAATGACGGTTCTAAATTTCACCATAAATATAAATGCACATCATTACATAAACAAATATGACCTCGCAGTTATTCAACCAATGTTTCTTTAATCAATCAAATCTAAATTACAACAAATAGAAAAGTTGATAAAGGGTGTAAGAAAATTACTAAGCGCAACAATTAAATGTTATTCTATCCCTTATGGATAGATCACGTACAGATTTGTTCGAAAAATAATATTTTGTCGCATTATAACACAGTGTTTCCAATTTTGGAAGAGTGCTTCAATTCACAATCAAAAGTGAACAATCCCAGTCAATGCAAGCAACACATTCAAATGAAGGATGAAGTCAACATGGCTGCCGGCAAGACTAAGTATCAATTAAAACACAGTTCAGGAAGAAACATGGAAACTAAGTAAAGGCGTAAGAAAAATAAAAATTATAATAAAATGCAAATATTACCACCCCAAATGCAATCAAAACGACTAACAAAATGTACAAATGAAGGAATCAATAGGAACAAATTACAAGTGTATACGTGGGTGGATTTTCACACAAAACCTTCAAAACGGATTTTAGACCGACCTGCAAAATCCCTCCATACAATAGAAAGCCACTCCAATGCCCCTGGTCGTGGCTCATTCGGTAGCATAGTCTAAACTAGAGGAACGAGTAGGACTAACAGAATAACTCACAACAAGGAACTAATTCGAACATTCAAGGAGGCATACACTAGGTATACCCTTTCTAGCCTATCCGTCATTCATTTACCATCCCAACCTTTCCGCCATTATCCGTTTCACAGCCTTCAAATACTTCGAAGGGCCGCTTCCCATGGGTCGAAATGTCCGAAGTCACGATTACTACATCTCCTATCTGGAAATCGGGATGTTCAACCAACCATTTTTGACGCGTTTGTAGGGGCAGTAAATATTCTCTTAACCACCTTTTCCAAGACACATAAACTAGATAATTAACCTGCTTCCAACTCACGCCATACTTATCTCTGATGTCACCTTCGACTACTCCGTCAAATTCCCTCAAAAACAGCAAACTATTTGGTGATGAAGCTAGTTTATCGTTAGCATCTTGGATAACTGGGGTTAAAGGTCGACCGTTTAATATCCTTACAATTTCGATCAAATATTTGCCTAACTTTTCAGCAGTCAAAGTCCGTTCCCTGGTGGTTAATAATAACAACAAATCATCGTATGCCAAACTCCACCCCTGTGGTTGGATGAGGGCGGGTTAAAATATCATTGGCTCTTCCTCGCTGACAATTCATTACTTACCTTCTGCTGATTAAACTGTCGCATAAATCCCCTTAGTTTAGAGACTGCACCCACGAAGTTCGACCCCTCTTCTTGCAATAAAATGTAATAAGGCTATTATAAATGGATCAGTATTCAAACTACACGTCATTTTAATATGCACTGTTTGTGTTTTCAAACAAGTAAATATGTAGAA